CATCCTCTCGCTGGCCACTGAGGGTTTATGACTGAGACAGCCAGCAGAAGTTTGGGGTAAACTGAGGAGGCTTCAGACTGGTGCAGCTCAGATTGGCATACATACTGGCTGGGCTTTGGGTCGAAGATAATGATAATAGGAAGAGCAACAACGTGTGTGAGTGTGAGTGAGTGAGTGTGTGTGTGTGTGTGTGTGTATGTGTTGTGCACATGTATGGGACGTCACGCCATATAAAGTGCTGTCCTTTCCGCCGTCTGATGTGACCATGAGCCTCACCTCCCCAGACTTGCTGAAAGTGGCCCCAAATCCCTAGAACGTACCTAAGCCCGGGTGATTTAGACCTCAAACTCCATGACTTCTCTAGAAGATGAAATGCCACCTGGGCCTCATCAGATTCAGCATCTTACTCTGTGTCCTATATTTTCTCTGATACTTTATACAGAAAAGAATTTTATATAATCCTACAGCAACCCCATGAGGAAACTCTTCTCAACCCCACTTCCCAGAGCAGGAAATGGAGGGTGAGCTATGTTAATAATTTGTCCAGGATCACAGAGCAAGTAGGCTGCAAAGCAGATTTCAAACTCAGGTTTGCTTGACTACAAAACCCATACTCCTCAAACTCCTGTGCATGCTGAAAGGAGTTTTTCTGGGCCAGAGAGCTGGAAGAAGGTAGGGGTTTGGGCAGAATTTTTAGGGACGTGGAATAGAAGTATGCCACCAACTTAGTGGTTTCTGGGCCACTTTCCTGCTAAGTGAGTGTGAAGGTGCCAAGATGTCTGTGTGCTCTGTTTCTACACACAGGGAGACAAACATTTTTACTTTAACATGTGTTTTATTTTCCATAGAGAGAATCCTTTTTTCTGACAGACACTGTGCCCCCAAAGCTTTCAATGCCAATGCTCTTTAGAAGGGAGCAAAGGTTTCAGCAAGGAAAAGGAAAGTTTTCAGCTGCCTGCTCCCTTTGCACTTCAAATATCCTTCAAAACATCTGCTTCTATTTTATTTGTTTGCTTTTTGGAGAAAATCAAAGGTAAATCTGAGATAAATAAGAAGGAAAATATCATCCTACACCAAAAATGTCCAGTACCTGGCCATCTAAAAAAATTTGGTTAGTTTGGTTAAATATTGATGGAGTGATAGAAAATCTGTGTAAACACCCATGCTTAAGATTCGGCTAATGAAACCCAAAAGTTCAGAGATTAACTATGAAATACTTTTAGAGAAGTTCCTTTTGATGATTTCTGAACTGTTTTTGCAAAGCAAGCACTTGTTGGGGAGGCAATTAGCAAGATCACAAGAAAATTTCCTCAAAAGACCAACAAAGCCTGGAGCCCATTCTGGATCTCTCCGTTTAGGGAGAAGAAACAGCCAAAAGAGAGAGGAAAAAAA